ACCGTAAAATAGCAGCTTAATACCGCTGTGTTTCGTGTAGTATAAAGAACCGGAGACCCCTTTTACTTAGTCCTCAGGGGTGACAACGCATCTGCATTTTGATGTTTAATCGAGGATAGATGTAGATGTCTGTGGGCCACAGCATTCGATTACCATCAGGTGGACTGTGTGCTCGTTTGTCACGCTATCCTATAAAAAAAATATATCCCTTCCCATTCTCTTTCCTGGCTCCCCTTTCCACCATTTGACTATCAAACGTTCGGCAGGTTTTCACGTCTTTGTTATCAGCGTTTCACGGTTTCTACCTAAATGGTTAGCTTAGTATTTTATAGAATTCGGATGACAAACGAGCGTACAGTCCAATCGATATTAAGTGGATGCTGTGGCCCATAGATATCTACGTATAGGTATCCTCGATTACGAATCAAAATGCAGATGCGTTGTCACCAGTGAGGACTAAGATGGAATGCCTCTTTTCCAGTAAAAAGGGTCTGCGGTTCTATACACTCTGCATACGAAACACAGCAGCATTAAGCTGCTTTTCACGCTTGTATTATTGGAAACGTGATACTTACTCGATTAGGGCGCTCATCATGGTTCTACCACGTATATATTTTCATAATATGGAATGGCTCGTTTCCAGTCATAAAGGTCTCCGGTTCTTAACAATCAGCATACGAAACACGCTTAAGCTGCTATTTCGCGCTGGCATTCTTTGAAACATAAGGATCATGATCCGGTTAAGGTACTCATCGTGGTTTAACCACGTACAATCTTTTACTCAAATTAAAGATTGAATGAAACTAGTTTTTAGCTGACCTTAAAGAAGAAGAAGGTTCACAATTCGGCTGTATGATCTTTTTTGTATGTATGAGTTTTTGAATATTTTTCTTAAATAAGTTCCTCAAGAGTGGTCCCGTATAAATTTAGCCGTAAAAGAACGTTGTTTTATTTGGGGTTTTTGTTACTGTTCGCCTGGCAGACGTTGTTCTGGCCTTTTCGACGACACTTCGTTATGTCCTATTAAAAATCCTTAAATTCGAAAAAAAAAATTATGAGCCAAAAAAACTATCCTATCTCTCAAGTTGGACCAAAGTGCACACGGTGTGCAAATTTGACTAATATCGGTTGAGTAGTTTAGGAGTCCATTGCGGACAAACAACGTGACACGTTATTTATATATATTAAGATTAGGAATGATAATACATTCATTGAACGACATATAACTTTCAAATAAATTTGTCGGTACGATACCCGCGCCACCTACTTTAAATTAATTGTACTATGCCTATAATCTTCGCGTAAGTGCAAGCAATAAGGTTGACAAAGTTTTACCGCAATCTGACAAACGGTATGGCAGGGCGTAAAAACGAACAAACATTATTATTTTTATATATTGGGATAATATTTTTTTATGGGATAGGGTGACAAACAAGCACACAGTCCACCTGATAGTAAGTGATTGCTGCGGCCCATAGACATCTACATCTATCCTGGATTACAAATCAAAATGCAGATGCGTTGTCACCGTGAGGACTAAGATGGAACGCCTCGTTTCCAGTAAAAAGGGTATCCGGTTCTCTACACTCACCATACGAAACACAGCAGCATTAAGCTGCTATTAATTTATATATATTTTATATATATATATATATATATATATATATATAAGCTGGTATTATGATAATATTCGTAAAAACTAGTTTCATACAATGTGTAGTATTATCAAAACAAATATCTCAAGAGCCGATAAGATATCGTCTACTCACTTCTTCCTGACATATGGATCTTCCTTCGGGAAGCATCCACATTTAGCGCACGTAGTTTTGTCAGGAGTTATAAAAATCGGCTTCCGTGCCGGTGTAATCGTGGAGGGGACACGACGCGGTATAATTATATTGTCTCTACGAGTCCAACTCCTTGCCGTTTGCTTCCTCTGAAAGAAAAAAAAACATTTAGTGACGGTTATGAGACTCCGTTCAAAAAGAGTCGGTAGCTCAAGGCCTAACCGCTCGCTGTAAGTTTCACAGCATGTGAGTAGCCCAGATTCTATTTTTTTTATAGGAGAGGGTAACAAACGAGCACACAGTCCACCTGATGGTAAGTGGTTGCTGTGGCCCATAGACATCTACATCTATCCTCCATTACGAATCAAAATGCAGATGCGTTGTCACCCGTGAGGACTAAGATGGAGTGCCTCGCTTCCAGTAAAACGGGTCTCCGGTTCTCTACACTCACCATACGAAACACAGCTGCGTTGAGCTGCTATTTTACGCTGGTATTCAACCCGCTCGCTCGGTTCGGAGGCCTATGTTCAGTAGTGGATTTTTATAGGCTATGATGCTAAATAGATTGATAAGTTTCACCGGGATAAACATCTAAACGTGGTAAAGCCACGCTGCATATTATAGCTGCATCGCGAATAAGTCGGCTCGACTTGGGAAGGACCACGCTCTCACAAAATACCAGCGTAAAATAGTAGCTTAATGCTGCTGTGTTTTCTGTGATGGTGACATTCCATCTTAGTCCTCAGAGGTGACAACGCATCTTCATTTAGATTCTTAATTAAGCAACGATGTATATGTTATGTGTGTGTATGTATATGTGTGTAGCCTGTGTGACCACAGCTTCTACTTACAATCAGGTGGACTGTGTGCTCGTTTGTCACACTTATCTTATAAAAAAAACAATTAATTTTATACGGGACCCTCAAACGTGTCGGACACTTGCACTTGTCCGATTTTATTATTCTCGATCCGAGCTTTGAACTATTCTCAAATCCTCAGGACTGGTGGTCTTCCTAGAGGAAGACCATTACGTTTGTAGTAGACGACCGAATGAGGCATTCTCATATGTATCAGGTGGACTTGTTCTACCAAAAAATCCAGACCTGAAATAATTATTTGTAGGCGATACTTGTTCCATGCCGGACTCCAACACCCGGCTCTCATGTTCATGTTAAGCCACTGCGCCATGTAGCTGTTACTATTTTACCAACAAAAGAATATCATTTTGCATTCAGACATTACTCAAAAGGAAAATTTAGTAGCTATCCTTTATTACCTCTTTATCTTGACGTGTTTCTTCCATTTATAATGAATAATATATAATAAAAAATATGTTTATAAAATATTTGCAATATAAAACAATAATACAGACTGTTGACGTTGACAGTTTGACAGTGATTTAATCATAGATAATTAATAATTTTACTTGGTAATGGACTCGTATGTTTGTCCTTTTACCGGTGTCAAATAATAAGAAATTATCAAAGGGCCAGTTCCTTATGTTGTTCTATATCCTTTGTAATAATTAATTTATCACAATACGTTGATAGTCACATTCCGATGTTTTTGTGAAATTTTGACGGCAGCATGAGTCAGCAGACATTCGATGACGACAGTATCTCAAGGCGCTTAAGCAGACACTCGAAGTTAACATCACCATCGGAGCACTTATTTCTTCGTTTCCATTAATAGTTTACATGTGCTGACATTTAACACAAAATCAGACAAAGTGGTCTGATTTTGTACGTATAAAACCGTAAAATACGTATCAAAATCCACTTCAAATTATTATTTAAATGATCCAGGTAAAAACAAAAGTAATGTATCTTACCTAGTTTGTAGAACACCTCCCTCCCTCCCTAAATTGCATGCACTATCGTTGGTATCATTAGTGTTCATCGCAAGTCCGAAACTAAACATAGGCTTCCTCCACGGAATGCCACAAAGCATGGTCCTAATCTTAAGCCACCTGCACCCATCACCGACAGAATATAAAACTTAGGTGAATTACTGTCCACCTGATGGTAAGTGGTGACTGCAGTCAATAGAACCTTGCAACTAATGATTTCATGCCTTACAAAAAAAAACGACTAATTTTAAGGATTAATTGAAGTAAAACTTCTTTACACATGCTTGACTTGGGGAGTAAGCTGGCGAACGCGTGACGAAAGCGTTACGAAAAGTGCGATCGGCGAGGCAAATGGGAGTTGGGTGGGGGATATATGCAAGAGAGAGTAGTGCGCGCGCATATTTTTTTCTCTCTTTCTCTCATAGCCAGTTATTTTTCGTAATTTTATTTCGTTTTAAATAATTTTATGAATTAATATTTTGTTTAAGACATTAAATATTCTACGTAATAATGAATAAAATTGTAATATGTGTGTTCGTGTTTTGTGAATTTTAGGCTGAATAATACCAAATTATCGATTAAAGCCGATAATATATTTAAATATTTGTAGGAAATTTATATATGCATATGTACATGAATATATTATGTATATATGTATAAACACATTCGTTTTTTTTAAATATAGAACACTACAAATGCATTGTCACCTTAAGGACTAAGATGGAGAGCTTCCCGGCTTTTTTATATAAGAGGGGGCAAATGAGCATGCGGCTCACCTGATGATAAGTGACTACCGTCGCCCATGAACAACTGCAACACCAGGGGAATTGCAGGTGCGTTGTGGGTCTATTAAAAAAGAGCAGGCTATTTTCTTGAAGATACCTAAGTCATATCGGTACGGAAAAATCTCTTTTGGTAGTCGATTCCACAAGGCTGTTGTGCGAGGATGAAAAACTTCTAGTAAATCGCACATTGATATACCGCCAATCATCCAGAAGGTATGGAAGGTATCGCGAGTTTTGTCTCGATATTTGGTGTATAAATTTAGCGGCTGGGATTAGATCGAACAATTCTTTAGAATAAGGGTGAAACTCGAGCACACAGTCCACTTGATGGTAAGTAGATGCTGTGGTCAATAGACATAAACATCTATCCTTAATTACGAACTAAATAGCAGATGCGTTGTCATCGCTGAGTTAAGATGGAATGCCTCGTATCCAGTAAAAAGGGTCTTCGGTTCTCTACACTCACCTCACGAAACACAGCAGTATTAAGCTGATATTTAAAGCTAGTCTTCTTTGAGAGCGTAGTTCTTCCTCTGAGCACTCGCCAATAATTAATATAATATATTTTGCTGTTTCCAGGTTCACACTAGACTTACGTACCTGCGTCACCTAATCGTGTCACTCGCCCAAGCGAGGGACATTGACAAGACTCTGCTGGTGTTCTCCCACGACTACTACGATGAGGAGATCAATGCGCTGGTGCGGAGTATAGACTTCACGAAGGTGAGTGCAGTACAAAATACTAGTAGGACCAAGCCTAGATCTCTGACTGTCGCGTTCTTTAACCCAAACGGCATCAGAGATCAAAAAGAAGAAATCATGCACTTTATACGTGATCATGACGTCGACATTACTAGTGTGCGCGATCCCAAAATAGCAAATTATACCTTAGTAAGAAATTATAGGCTGATCGGACTTAAGGGTGGCACTTTGATCTACTATAAAATTTCCTGGCACTGTTTACCGGTAGGGTGTACATTACACGCTCATGCAGGCTGTCAGTATTACAACAATCACGGTTGTGATTGACGAATAACCTACCGTGTAATGCAGTGATTGACGCCTGCATGAGCGCGTAATGTACGCCTATCAGTCACCATCCGTTTTTTACCAATCATGATTGATGGAATTGATTGATGCCTGCTTGAGCGTGTAATGTACGCCATAGATACTCCGCCGCTTGCTAACTTAGAAGCATCGGTTTGAAGGATGGTACACGGGCCATCCGCATATCATAATTGCATCGGCATATCAGACACTGCTGAAACATATAATAGAAACCGAAATCTTGGCTATACTAATTCTAGGCCTCGGCGTATTAATCGCGGGAGACCTAAACAATAAACACGTAAGTTATAATTCTAACGTTAACAATCAAAACGGAAACGTTGTATGTAATTCACGGAGAGACTCAACTTCGACGCTAGCGCTCCCGAGAGTCCAATATAGTAGGTTCTTTTTCTGTACACCAACAACCGGACATTCTTGATGTAACGTTACTCAAAGAAATCCTTAGGCTTACTATTAACTCGATCGATACTTTTATCGATATAATCTCAGGCCCCAGGCGGTCCTATTTCAACTGGGTCGGTCGGCAGGTGAGGTCCCTCAGACCAAAATCATCGTTGACTGGCGTAAACTTGAAGACAAAGTCAAGTCTACGAACTCCCAGCATTTAGACACCATAAAGTTAAAGTTACAACCTGTATACGTCCCACAGCTGGGCACAGGCCTCCTCTCATTTCAAAGAGGGTTTTAGGGCGAGGGAGTGTCCGCCGTGCTGCTACAATGCGTGTTGGCAAACTTCACAAGTCTTCGAAATATTTTTTTTCTCATTTCGTAGACGTGCAGGTTTTCGCTCAATGTTTCCCTTCACCGTCGAGCACGTGGTAAATACGCACTTAAAATTGCAATTAACAATTTCTTTGGTGCCGGCGGGGATCGAACCTGAGTTGCTCGTGTACTGTGAAATTTACAGCGAGCGCTAACCATCTGAGCTACCACCGCTCTTTAGACACCATACCAACAAGATAGACTCTCCGTCTGCACCAATGAAATTGTTAATTTAAATTTTAAGTTCTGATTTACCACTTGCTCAGCGGTGAGGAAAACATCGTGAGGAACCCTGCATGTCTGAGAAGTAAGAAAAAAATATTTCGAAGACATGTGAAGTTCGCCAATAAGCATTGGGGCTGCGCCGCGGACTCTTCCTTGCCCTAAAACTCTCTCAGAAATGAGGGGAGGCCAGTGCCCAGGAGTGGGACATATATAGGCTCTAACTCAGTGATTCCCAAAGTGGTCTATATCGACCCCTAGGGGTCTATGCCAACCTGCAAGAGGTCTACGTCAGCGAAAAAAATTTTGGAGGTCCATGAAATGAAAATGGGGGTCCACGATAGTGGATCTCAACACATACACTGATAGTACTTATTTACTTACATCATACTATCTTATAATATCAAAACATATACATTATTTATAAAAGTACCTATGAAGTAAAAAATTTATTATATATGTTTATAAAATTGTGTAAGTTGTAGGATGTTGGTATTCGCTTTGTGGTCGCAATACATTTTGAACTTGTAAAAACCTGAGAGTCGCAGTCTCAGAGCTTCGCTACCTTGCACTGACTTGTTCAATTCGTCACTCTATAAATACTAATGTGGGACAAATACGTTTATTCGTTTCCTGAATCATGAAAAGGAAAGTGCTTAGAAAATATTTTAAAAAATATAAACAGATAGTATATCACACAAATTATAGTGAGTCAGTGTTATTTTGTTTGAGAGTGCTGGAGAAAAGTAAGTACATTATTTTTTATTACAAATTACGCCAATCATGACTTTAGTTATTAGTAGTTTAATATTCAATCATGCAAAATTACACGAGTACTCCTCAATAGTTTCTTTTTGAAAGTTTTAGCAATCGGTATTATAATTACAGTGCAATCTCCGTAATTCGAGCTAATTGTTGCAAGAAGATGTTCGAATTATGGAATGTTTTCGGAAAAATATCAAAAAATATTTTTAATATACAGCTGCTGGATTTTCTGTCTTATTTAAAATAATTTAATTTAGCCCACAGATGACTGATGCCGTGTCCGAATCTAAAAAGAAATGTAGACAGCACAGTGTCGATTATTTGAAATTTGGCTTCATTCCATCATTGCCGGACAAACAATTGCCTATGTGTCTTTTATGCAACAAAGTTTTGGGCAATGACGCCATGAAACCATCTAAACTGCAAGATCATCTGAGAAGATGCCACCCTGATAAAACAGAGAAAGATTTGAAATACTGTCAAACACTCAAAGATAAACTTCAGAAGAGACCTACACTGGACAGAATGTTCGCTTCGACGTCACAAAGAAATGATGATGGTTTGCGGGCGTCTTACAATATCTCGTTACTTATAGCAAAATTCGAAAAACCGCATACTATCGGAGAGAAGTTAATTTTGCCAGCCGTTGAAGAGGTTTTAAAAACTATTTTACACAAACCTGCATCTGATATCATTAAAAGAATTCCCTTAAGCAACAATATTGTTGAAAGACGTATTGATGAAATGAGTTCTGATATTGAAAGCTTCTTATACTATTTATTTATGTACTTTTTTTTAATTATTTGCAAACGACCCATTTCTCTATACAACTGGACGAGTCAACTTTACCTGAAAATGCAGCATTATTATTGGCATATGTTCGTTTTATTATGAATCAAGAAATCTACGAAGAACTGCTCTTCGCAAGAGCTTTTATAACCGACACTAAAGGTGAATCAATATTTCATGTTTTGAAGGATTACATAACATAAACATGCATAAACACTCATGCCTGTCACTTCCATTTGACTGTGACTTCCATTTGGCACGATCCTGACACACCTCTCTCGCCTTCTTCACATCCATACACCAACGCATACATGCTCGTCGGTTAAGGGTACTCCTAATTTGGCCCGTTTTTAATAAATCGCTAATTTGATTGATAAATTTTTGCCTCGGGCGTCCCTTTCCGACTCTGCCATTCACTTCTGCAACATAAATTTTCTTTGTCACTCTTTCCTCGTTCATTCTTTCCACATGACCAAACCACCGAAGCATTCCTTTCTTAATCCTGGTCACAACATCATCTTGCAAACCACACTCTTCTCTTATCACACAATTTCTCACCCTGTCATTCAGATTCAGCCCTAACATATTCCTTAACGACCGCATTTCTACTGCGTTCATTCTACTCTCGTGCTTCTTCTGCCATACCCAACTTTCACTACCATACGTTAAAGTAGGGACCAACACAGCATTGTGAATTGCCATACGTGCCTTTTTCGACACATTTTGACTCTTCACAATAGAGTGCAAGGCCCCATTTACTCTATTTCCCGCATTCACTCGTCGTTCCATATCCTTATCATATCTCCCATCCCTGCTAAATACGCAACGCAAATATACAAACTCATCCACTTGCTCGATCAACTCCCCTTCTATTCTTATTCACAAATCGTTTTACTTTCTTCTGTTTCAAAAACCATAACCTTCGTCTTACTTGCGTTCACTTTCATACCCCTTTCTTTTAATGATCTGTTCATTAATGTAACCATCATTTGCAACTCGGCCGCCGACGACGCAAGAATAACTTGATCATCGGCGTACAAAAGGCATTTGACGGTTAACTCACCCATTCTTAATCCGCATTCTTCAACTTTCAAATTTTGCAAACAACTGTCCATAAATAGGTTGAACAGCCACGGGGAAGCCACACAGCCCTGTCTGACACCTTTATGGATGTCAAACCAGTCCGAGTAGACCCCGTTGATCCTAACACAAGCACTATAGTCCCTATAAAGAGACTCCAATGCCTGTATCAAGACAGCGCTCAACCCAAATGTTCAGCGTTTGCCATAGCACATCCCTATCCACTCTGTCATAGGCCATTCCCAAGTCCATGAACGCACAAAAAACCTTTTGGTTTTTGGCCAAAAACTTCTCCGCGATCATGCGCATGGAAAAGACTTGATCTGTACATCCCATTCCCTTTCTAAATCCCGCTTGCACATCCCAAATTTTTCCATCGGTTTCTTTCATGACCCTTTCAATTAGTACCTTAGCATACAGTTTTCCCACGATGCTAAGAAGGCTGATACCGCGGTAGTTTTTACAGTCCTGCTGCGACCCTTTTCCCTTATATACTGGGACTATCACGGCTTTGCACCAGCCTCCCGGTACCCGCTTCAGTTCCCAGCATAAATTAAACAAAGTGTGCAGCAGGCCTGCCACCACTTCCTTTCCAGCCCTTAGCATTTCGAGTGAAACTCTTTCATATCCGGCAGCCTTACCTGCTTTCATGCTTTTAATTGCTTTCATTATTTCATCTATACTTATCTCGCTACCTCCTTCCTCTTCTTTCGGAGTTCCTATTTCATTCAGTTCATACGTTGTCTCCTCACTCATAAACATGCTTTCAAAATATTCCTTCCATCTCTTTAAACTCAAAACTTCATCATTCAGAATATAGCCATTCTCATCTCTTATAGCATTCATTATAGGCTGTTTTGAACGTCCCCTGGCAGTTCTTACGAGTTTCCAGAACATTTTAATATTTGCCTGAAAGTTATCCGATATTCTTCTATCATTCTTATCCGTTCTTTCTTGCTTTTTCCTTTCTTATTTAGATGTCTAAAGACTGCCTTCTTTCTTTCAAAATCATCATTCGTACCACTAGAATTACCAGCCTTAGTTGCTAGTAAATCTAGCCATGCTCTCTTCTTTGCTTCAACTTCCATACGTATCTCATCATACCACCATAATGTATTATTTTTCCTTTCATTCTTTCTTTTAATAACACCACATACTTCGGTAGCTGCATCTACTAAACCTTACTTAACATTTTGCCATACATTCTTCAAGTCTAACTCATTCATACATAATTCATCCAAACCACTTGTTTTCTTTCAGTCTACATTTGAACTTGTTTTTCTCACCTTCATCTTGTAATCTTTCTGTTCTAATACGCTGTAACGCAGTGGTAGACACAGATGACCGATGGCGCCAACGCCTGAATAGACCATTAATTCGGCATAAGACCAAAAAATGATCCGTTCCTACGTTTGACCCCCGGTAAACCCTTGTATCCACCACTGCGCCCCTCAATCTTTCATCCACAATTTACGAAATCTATCATGCTTCTATCATCACCTCTTTCCCAAGTATACATGTGAATCCTCTTGTAGCGAAAGAAAGTGATCGTCACAAAAAGATTCTTTTCCATACATACAGTGAGGAGGCTTTCACCATTCTCATTTATACTTTCATTACCAAACGTACCCAATATCCTTTCATAACCAAGCCTCCTCACCCCAACTCTTCCATTAATATCTCCTAGCATAACAACATTTTCATTTCCCTTACATTTCTTTAATACCATCCTTACCATTTCCCAAAACTGCTCTTCTCACTTCATTTAGTCATTGATACAGTAAACTGAATCCGAAGCATTGAATACGCGGTTATTTGCGCAGTTGTGTGAAGAAAATGACGAACACTTTCATCAATTACTCCTTCACACTGAAGTACGCTGGCTGTCGAAAGGCTTATGTTTGACAAGATTTTTTGCACTTTTTGAGACTATTTTAGAATTTCTGGATACTAAAGATAAAATTTTAGAAGAAAATTTAATGAAGAGGAAAACAGACATCGCCTATTTAACAGATTTGTTTACAAAATTTAATATGGTTAATTTGCAATTACAAGGCGACGGTTTAAATTTGATTAAAACAAAGTCCATCTTATCAGCGTTTCTTGCCAGAGTTAAACTAATGAAGCAAAATATTGGACGGGGCGAATTTTCTCAGTTCCCCAATTTGTCACAGACAAGCTGCCAGGAAGACGACGTTTCAACTTACGTTCAACATTTAAATGCCCTCTATTCAGATTTTGAATCTAGGTTTGAGGATATTTTGACTATGGTAATACCACCGTGGATAATTAATCCATATGGTGACATAGAAGAAACGAATGTCATAATACAAGAGGAACTGACTGAACTAAGTACAAACGAAGAACTTAAGTTTCAGTTTAAAAACGGATATCAGCAATTCCGGCTGCAAAACAACATACCCGTTACTTATCTGTATTATGGGATATAGCGAGGAAATTTTTAATTTCCTTTCCATCGTCATACCTAGTGGAAAGGGGGTTCAGCGCTGTTACCAATCTCCTAACGAAAAAAAGAAACAGACTGGACATCATTAGCCGAGGAGATTTAAGATTAACCCTTACAAAATTGACGCCAAATGTTGATAATTTCTTATTAAAGCATCAGGTTCATCCTTCTCACTAAAAATATTGAATTATTGCTTATGTTATTTTATTTTTAGTTTATTTAATGCTACGTATATTTTACATAACAGATACAAAATTTTATTTTGAGTAGTTTTAATTTAAATTCAATTAATAAATGCATTTTACTTTAAGTTTTTAACACTAAACTTCTCTACTGTTAGAAATTTACAGGAAATCGATATCAGGTAAGTAGTGGGTCTACCCAACACGGAAAAACTTGGCAAGGGGTCTATGACACAAAAAACTTTGGGGAACTCTGCTCTAACTATTATACTAATAACACTATTATTTACTATGTTTTCAGGTGATGCAAATCTTCTATCCATACTCCATCCAGACTCATCCCTACGAGTTTCCCGGAGTGGACCCGAACGATTGTCCCAGGGACGCGCGACTTGAACAGTAAGTGCTTTTTATTAGGTAGTAAGCCCTGATAGCTCTATAACACAGTAATATAAGGACTGATTGGTTCATGACCTCAAAAATAAGGGGGGACCTATGGGTTGGCCGTTGGGGCATATATCGGCTGTAACCTTACTATACTTTTATACAGGTATATTTCGTAACAACTGGCCAAATTTGCAGATAAGGTTCACAATAAGTAATATAGGCAAATGGTGAAGAAAAGTTAATTAAAAAAATCTCAAACATTGTGTCCTTTTTATCTTTCAAATTCAAAATGCGTGGTAATACATTATTTTAACTGATTTTACCGCGCACGCTCACATTGGTGAGCAGGAGCGCAGGTAGCGCCGTATTAATCGTATCAATGATACGGGGGCCCCGTAACAGTACCACGTGCGGGATCCCTGAGTCACAACAGGGGTCCCGAACGTGGGTAAGCGAATAGTTTGTAAAATATTATCCACAATCACACTTAAACTCTTAGGCCGTACTTCCCGAGAAAAAAATCATATGATAAAATATGCCTAAAAAAGTTTTCACTTCTCCAGTTATGAAAGTCAAAAAAAGGAATCTCTTTTTTTACCCGGTTCAAGTGCGCGCCCAAAAGTTGGTAACACGTCTCACTTCACGGTTGACCCGCGACCACAGATAACTAAATTCGCAAAGCGTATCTGTCAGCATACATCAGTTATTGCGGGATTTCCCCCACTTGACTGATTGACTGAATGACAAAGATAAACCAGTTCCTAGGCAAAGATTTCAAATCTTTGTTTCTAGGAGTATTAATTTTAAGTAATAACTTATAATCAATTGATTAAAACTACTTTTACGGATTTTATCGCATTTAATTTATTTGCTTTTTAATTCCCAAAGTTTCGGGCCCCCCGTGACCATGGGTGATTTCCAGCACCTATGGTCAAAGTTGGTTTATGTAGATTTAATCAATGTGTAGAGTTCGCGTAAATATAAGAAATCAAAACTTATAATCAATTTATAATTGTTTAATTCAATGCGAGCGTTTTTGTTCCTTTTTTGAAAAATCTTTACCGTTCATTTTTTTTTTGACACAGTGCCCGTCTAAGGCACGCTACGCTACTGTTGCTAAGGGTCAATCTGTAAGCGGAAACGTTATTGCCCATAAATCACATTCAATTTGGAATAATTTAAAAATAAAAGCCTTATTTACTCGTATTTTCAAAAACTGCAATAACGGTATATCATTATTTATACTGGATGACCTTTTTTACCGTCTGAAATAAAAACGGTGTAGCATGTGAACGGAGTAGAAGCCTATGGCAATGATATTTAACAATAAATAAAAAAATATACTTTTGAATTACGTTTGAAATTTTTTTGAACAATTACTTTGCCCTTTGCCCTTGACCTGCGTGACCCTGCGAAGTGACAAGGTCAAAGATGCCTACTAAATTTATTGTTTTATTGCGCTTCCTAAACTAGTTAGGTAGGTTAGGTGGATATGATTTGAATTTCGATAGATTTTAATTTATTTATTTATTTAATTCAAAATGTTTGTTTTTATTTTTTGTAAAATATCACTGCTAGCTGGCTACTAGGCTCCTACTCCGTTCACACGTTACGTTCTATTTTTTTCCAGACGGTAAAAAGGGTCATTCAGTATATTTGAACTTAAGTTCAAAATTTCGCTACTCTTTGTAAAATAACCCTTTATGTTGTTTAGTCATTTTTCTACCAATTTTCAGAATTTTTATTATTTTAATTACTAATAACGAAGTATTTGACTTCAGTCCAAACTCCATAGGGGTGACCACGCATCTGCATTTTAATTCTTGCCTAGTTTGACTTGAGTCTAAGAGTATTCTTTTACAGCCTATAAAAGTCCATAGAACATAGCCTCCCCCATATATTGTCTCATAGAGAAAATTTTGTTATAGTGTGGCACGCTTGGTGCATTATTTTGAGTTGTTATCAGGAAGCTGCTCCCCATCTCCAGTATCAGTTTCCCTCTCTCGTCTCTTACGGCACCCACGAGACCATATGGCGTAGTGGATATTCTTACACCGCCACTGCATGACTGTTATGAGTGTAATATTGAGTTACTGATCTTTTTATATTATTTTTCACTGATTAATAATCTCGATCAAAGACTTTTATGTATATCACAGCTGTGGATCGTGTGCGGTAGCTAGCACAGTAATCTGTCAATGTGGTCTTAAATTAAAAATGTGTTTACAATTCGTCACATTGGTGAACAGTCGAAAAGTTTTGATCAGTGCCTCAATTTGATCAAAAATGTGCCAAAATTTTGATCTATGAATGAGATCTATCTTCAGCTTCACTTTTAAAACTTTTTTAATAGACGGTAATGAACGGACGAAACCTAGTCATTGTTGAGGGAACATAATACGTTTAAAGTATCAACTCTTTATAGTCCAACAACACTCATCAGAGAAGTGAAAGTAACGTCGCGTCGGTGAGTACCGTAACATTGAGGGTAAACTTACGTCATACGTTTTTCATTCCTTGAATATGCCATATTTCCCCAATTTTATGTTTGCTTGTTTCTATATAACGTATGAGGAGCTAAAATTCAAAACGTGATTTGTGACTGAGATCAGATTGTTGGGAATCCAAGAAAAACTTTATATTGATAAATTAAAAAACTAATTATGACCTTTTATATCTCTTTCTGGTAGTTCTTAGACATATTTCATTTTACAAATAGGTTTTAAATATTTTCAAATAGGTCCCAAGCTAGTCAAATTTCGGGAACATCTAAAGGAGTTTTAAAAAACTAAAATACAATAAATTATCTTGTTTGGAGTGGCTTTAATAATAAATGATATTCAAAGAGCCTGTTCGTGCGCAGACGTTCGACTCATCGACTAAGTACTGGGAATCTTATATAAAATGCTGATGTGTTATATTATATATTTTAATATTCTAGTCTAAAACAGAGGGACGCGGTGTATCCATAAATAGCTATGCCACGCAGTTACATTTTCATTTAGGCAGTTATTGTTTTTTGGCAAATACGAAATAAAGTTACATACTCATATAAAATAAACTTCAAATCACAGTGACAAAGTGTGCACATAAATAATGACAGTGTTTACTCAATCACATGAAACAAAATCAGTGTTAGATTGTAGAAAACAACGATCGCGGTTTACAAAACATGGAACTACTCTTCTCGGCCGCTTGCAGTCGACTGAAAAAGTTACGGAGAAACCGTTACTTAGTGCGCAACGTATTAGTGCCATAGTGCTAGTTCGGTGGTATACAAAGAAGTCTTTGATATCAACGCTATAGCCGCTACAGCATCCACTTTCTATAATAATAATAATGATGATAATTTCTTTATTCAGGAAAAAAATTTAAAAACATATATTTGCATCCGCGCCTGAACTAAGCAATAAGCTTGTATCTCAGGCAACAGTGCTCTTTCTTATGGGACAATTTAACAGAAATCTTTCTGATTAAGAAACTTACGTAAACGTATATCAAACAGTATTTTTTAAAGTATCAAAAATAAACCTAAATATATTAGTTAGTTTTTAAGTGTTAAGTGTAAATTGTTCCTCTCTTATGTGGGTGCCTGCGTCCGTGCGTAAGTGCGTGCGTTCGTGCGGTGGATTCGTGGATTTGTGCGTGTGTGTGTGAATCGAGGAAGTAAACTCATTTGTTATTTGTTTCTTTTACAAAACAGGGATAATTACACTCCATCTACCAAGAAGTCACAAGATCTTCCAGGCTTTTAACTAGGTTATCTCTTAAACCACCTGCGACCCACGAGATGATGGATTCTTTAAAGCCCCGAACACAACAAACAAATGCCTTGTAACAAGCGATAACAAACATTATTTCCAGGGCAAAGAAGCTAAAATGCAACAACGCTCTCCATCCAGACCTTCACGGTCATTACCGCGAGGCGAAGTACACACAGACTAAGCACCACTGGTGGTGGAAGGCCAACAGGATCTTCAACCAACTGCAGTGCACTGCCAGTCATACAGGTTAGTGTTCTTGTCGAGTTATGATCGCCTGGTATTTGACATCTGCATTGAATTACTTGCCGTCCGATACCTACGCTTCAACTGCGGTGCACTGCTAATCATTCAAGGTGGAACACTTATCGAGCTATGATTGCCTGGTACTTATCATCTGCATTGAATTACTTACCGTCCGTTTACTCGTATCCAAGTAACGATACGTTAAGGACAAATAAGATATATTTAAACGAATCGTTATTGCATCAGATTTTATCAAAAGGATTTGTAAAAATATCACAAAAAATTCCAGAAGGAAGGCACCTACACCCAGCCTAATATGGTGGGCTTGTTTTGTGAACGTTCTTTTTTTTAAAAGCTAGCAAACTGTCGATAATGAGGACTAAATAATGTTCCGTTCACCAGATGTCGCTACTGAAGATTCAGGAGAAGGTTTTTGTTACAGAATGTCACATAATTGAGAAAATTATATAAAATTTAACGGTTTCTAGACAAATACACAAAACAATGCTTCAATGGTTTATTCCTTAATGTTTTCACATTTTTTAATTATTTTTATAATTTTTCTACTCTTAGGTATAGTTAAGTAGGGTGAGCAAAACAGATATTTTTGAAATACTAAATATTAATTTAGAAAAGAAATATGGACGTTCTTATTCCTATTTTAATCGCATTGTACCTTTTCTTTACTTATAATCCTAGAATGGTAAAATTATCTACAATATACGTATGGGTGGAGCCATATCGCAGCTACATTATAGTCGTAGTACAAATGGGTCGGATCGACCGGGGGAAGACCATGCTCTCACAGAATACCAACATAAAATAGTAACTCAATAATGATGTTTCGTATGGTGAGTGTATAGAACCGGAGACCCTTTTTACTGGAGATATTCTATATTAGTCATCCGGGGTGACAACGCATCTATAGTTTGATTCTTAATTGAGCAAATATGTAGATGTCTATGGGCCACAGCTTATACTTACCATCAGGTGGACTGTGTGCTCGTTTGTCACCCTATCCTATACAAAACAACAATCACTTTTATACGGGATCCTTCGAACGTATGTCCTACTCGCACTTATCCGATTTCGTCATTCTTGATCTAAGCTTTGAACTATTCTCAAACCCCCAGGAATGGTGGTCTTCTTAGAGGAAGACCATTACGTGGCAGAGGATTTCATCCACATGCTGCATCTTCTCCGTGCTACAGCTGACAAGAGTTGTCCACAGTGTGAAATACTTTGCCTTGGGACCTATTTGAAAACCTATCAGTACCACGCCACTGGAGATAAGGTGAAAAACACACTCTGTCTACACTTTAAAGACACTTTCTTAATGTACATTTTATGATGATTGAGACATTCAAATTCTTACGTATATTGTGCCCTGTAACGTACCTGGAGTTTTGGCGGGAACTTGATCACTGTTAAATAATAGTGAAATTGAAGTGGATTTTGATATATAGAAGTGATTTGATATACTTAGTGTATTAAAATGTCTCTTCATGTGAACCTCAAGTGTTTGCTTAAACACTTGAGATACCATAGTTATCGATTGTCTACTGGCTCAAGCTGCAGTCAAACTCTCCCAAAAAACTTCGCAAAGTGACGCGTCAGTATATTGTGTACAAGTTTTTAAACAAATTATAGAACAAATTCATAATACTTGACATTGGCAAAAGCACTACCTCACAAGTCCATTATTAATGAAAAGAAAAAAACATACTACCTTATTTTTTAAGCAATCTATGATCGTACCAAAATAATCATTACCGGTACAGCCCGTATGAATAAAGAATGGGATTAGAAATGGCGACTCATCAAGCCCGTACCGTCAACATGTACAGTACCAATAGCGAAAATCCGCTTGTAAACAAACCGGACTGCATTTTTTTTGTTGTTTATAGCATTTTGTTATCATTGATTCCAATGACAAGTTTGATTGAAGTTATGGAACATGCGAAAAACACGTACTGCAACTTGTTTTTTGCAGTCTTTACGAACGGGTGTGAGTATAGACAGCGAGAGTAGTGTGCGAGCGAAAGGTGAATAGAAGCGATACTATTTTCTATCCCATTCTTTAGTAGTACCTAGTTAACTTTTTATTACAAAACGATGTTTTTTATGTTGTTAGTACATCTACTCTATTGCATTTATCTTAAGGTCGTTTTAAAAATGGATACTAGAAATCCGCCCGTCTTTGCACGGGTGATTTTAGGTTCTCGACAACAGCGCCACCTACCGGTGAATCCAATTATAAATCGAAACCATCCAGCCATTTAAGAGTTTAGTGGTAAAAACACTGAACTGATACGCGACAGCTGATCATGAGATCCCGGACTCGAATCCCGGTTCAGACCAAAATAAATCATACAATGTTTATATATGTATTCATTTATACACTTATATATCTATGAGTTTATATATATTGTAAATACCTCTTATTACACCTACCTCTTTCATCTCTGCACTACTCTAAGGTAGACTGGTAGATAATTCCTCAGGCATTAAGTCCACCTATATACATCTAATGTGTATATGAAGTTAAATAAATAAGTAAATATTGAGTTTTTCCGTCAAGAAATTCTCAGTAGTTGTCCGGAGTCAGGAAGTTGTCGGTGTCTCATCCCCGTGCCTCGGAAAGCACGTGAAGCCGTTGGTCGGCCGGCTTGCCGTTCCATCGGATTATAGTGCACTCTGCACTATAATCCTGTCCTGCGCCGATGGCTAGTCTCCATTGAGGCTTGAGGCAGGCCGCCGTGAACGAAATTCGGTATGGAGGACATTATTATAGCAAGAAGTTTCGTCGCGCAGCGTGAATATTCACATATCTGTCATACTGCATCACCGTCTAGGGTTTGTTTTAAAGATGTTATACATGATCCATCTTGCTGAACGTCCAGCCAAGGTCAGAAAAAACGACAAGGAGTAGGCTTGACGTATGTCAATAAACATAAACACTCACGCCTGTCACCCAGAGGTGTAGGCAGAGACTACGGACTTCCATTTGGCACGATGCTGACACACCTTTCTCGCCTCCTTTACATACATGTATCTACACATACACGCTCGTTGGTTAAGGTTACTCTTAATGTGGCCTATTTTCAAAATATCGCCAAGTTGGTAGATGAACCTTCTTCTAGGGCGTTCCTTCCCGACTCTGCGGTTCACATCTGCAATATAAATTTGCTTTGCCACTCTTTCCTCATTCATACTTTCTACATGACCAAACCACCGAAGCATTCCTTTCTTAATCATGGTCATAACGTCATCTTGCACACCACATTTTACTCTTATCACACAATTTCTCACCCTGTCATTCAGATTCAGCCCTAGCATACTTATAAATAGAATTGAAATATATGGAAATATAAATTATAAGAATAAGAATAAATAGAAATAGAAATGCGCTCTTTACCGCATTTCTACAGCATTTATTCTACTTTCGTGCTTCTTCTGCCAATATATTTCAATTAATAATTATTGTTTGAAGTTGATATACTTCTAGCCTATACTGTTGTTTTTCATCGTGTATCGTGCATAACCTTGACTACAAGTACAAGATAATCTGAATAGTAGGCCTTTAGTTTTCTCAGTGAATTTAAATTCATAAATTAAAAAAAAATTATAGTATAGGGTAACAAACGAGCACACAGTCCACCTGATGGTAAGTGGATGTTATGGCCCATAGACATCTATATCTATCCTCGATTACAAATCAAAATGCAGATGCGTTGTCACCCGTGAGGACTTAGGTGGAATATCTCGTTTTCAGTGAAAAGGTCCGGTTCTCTATACTCACCATACGAAACACAGCAGCATTACGCTGCTATTTTACGCTGGTATTTTGTGAGAACGTGGTCCTTCCCCGGTCGAGTCGACCATAATATAGGTGCAGCATGGCTCTACCACTTTCAATAGTTATAATAATTTCAATAATATTAAAAAAAAACTCAATATACATGTCTGTCAATTAGATTGCCTATATGGCAGTCCTCAGCTTAATTAGTTTTGCTGCTATTTTCGCTGTCACAAAATGCACGCACTCTAAAATATTCACGCACACATCACGAATGTTTATTAAAATTAATAATTCCAGTTATGTATCAGATTATGTATTTGAAGCAACAATTTATTAATCTCTACATTAACAAAAACATTACTCATATAACAATTTTCTTACCTCATAATATACAGGTTGTTTGAAAAACGACTACGTAATTTAAAAAAAATGACAGTAAATATTTTTGAAATTTATACGTATATTATCTGGATATTATTTTTTATTTATATGTCAACATTAATAATGACGTAACTATAACGTTATTTTATTGGCGTCTATCACATTATTTCTACACGTCCCAGGTTGACGGGAGTGAATGCCAAAAGGCATTAAGACCGGCCTTTTAATACGTTTTATCAAGGTGTTTTATACGATAACGTGTAAATGAATTAATAAATAAACACTACGACTCCTGTTAGACCCCCCCCCCCAGAAGTTTTTCCGTCAGTCACATTATACGTGTGATTTTGTAATAAATTAATAAACAATTTTGAATACTTATACATTTATAATTTCATTGCAAATAATGCGTTATTTAGTTAAATCAATCAATTAAATGAAATTTATTTAAGGTAAATAATTGAAATTGTTTTAGTCGTAACATAAGTCATTACTTCATGTTAACGCAGTTTAAAAACGGGCAAACTAAGTTTTTTTTTTCATAGAATAAGGGTGACAAACGATCGCACGGTCTATCTAATGGTAAGTGGGTGATGTGGCCCATAGACTTCTATATATACTTATGATTAAGGATCTCGCCTGAGGACTAAAATGGAATGCCTTATTTCCATTAAAAATCCGGTTCTCTTCACTCACCATACGAAACAAAGCAGCATTAAACTGCTGTTTTACCCTGTTATTTTATGAGAGCCTAGTCTTTTCTCGTAGAGCTTCTACATTTGTGCTGCAACTATAATATAGCTGTAGCATGACTTTACTACGTTTGAAACTTAATATTTTCTAATGTATTAAAAATTAAGTCTAAAGTTTCAAATACATTTAGGTACACATTTGAAATTAAATAATTATGCGTGGTAGAGCCATGCTGCAGTTATATTAGTAGTATAGTTGTAGCACGAATTGGTCGATTCCACCGGGGAAGGACCACGCTCTCACAGAATAACAGCGTAAAATAGTAGCTTAATGCTGTTGTGTTTCGTATGGTGAGTGTAGAGAACCGGAGATCCTTTTTACTGGAAACAAGGCATTCCATGCTAGTCCTCACGGGGGACAACGCATCTGCATTTTGATTCGTAATCGAGGATAGATGTAGATGTCTATGGGCCGCAGCAACCACTTACCATCGGGTGGACTGTGAGCCCGTTTGTCACCCTATCCTATGAAAAAATGCTCTTTTTATTATATATGTATTTCCTGCCCGACTTATAAAAAAGAAAGTTTTAAATTCGACTGTATTTTTTTGTATTTTTTTTATGGAAGAGGAAGCAAACGTGATATCTTGGCCTATTATGAACCGATTTTAATTTCTTTTTTATTAATTAGACCATACTTCAAAGGTTATAAAGGTGATAATATGTTAATTTGAAGAAAAATCCCACCATTAAGGGTGTAAAAATGTGGGTTGAAATTTTAAATGTAACTATTCATGCGACGTTCTATTTATTGCCGTAAGCCTGTGATATTCAAAAAAAATTATCGAAGAATTAAAAGTCCGACTTCAAAAGCTGTTAAATTAACTTTATTATTTATGTAAAATAATATTATTATTTTTAGTTTTTTTTTTTTAAGTCGGTTCTGTTTGTTTGTAATGTTGTTTTTATAAATAGCCAACAGTTCACACCCTACCTGATAGGGCAATCTGTTTCTTGTTCGAGTCTTATTATACCAATTAACTTCAGTAATCCTTAATCTATCTAATTTACGTCTTTCGGCATTTAAATATTTTCGTGTATTACAAATTTAAAATTAAAAAAATCGTATCTTTGTTTTGACAGAATTATTTTTTTAAGTAATTGGTCACTTCAAATTTAAACTTGTTCAATTTAAGTTGCATTTTAAAAGCGCATTTTTGTTTAAATTTTTGTGTTACAATATTATATCAAGTTAAAATTTAATATCAAAATGACACACCCTATATAAGTAAGTCGAAATTTAATAATTTAAAAAGTAATAAGTGGCATTAAATTGTTAATAATGACCAGAGGAAGAAGCAGCTAACCCTGAACTACATACAGCAAGTGAGGGCCGCCAACGAAGAGAGACGCAAGAAGATGCAGGACACACAGACCTGGAACTACCAGGTCTACCCGTATCTGTACTCGAGCAATCAAAAGGTGCTATATTATATGATATGCACAGTTTGTGATTCTGCTTTTGAAAATTTTATGTTCACATTGTCGTATAATATATTTTAAAAGAGATATTATTTTAATGTTAACTTGTAAAGGAGAGGCGAAGGATCTTTCAAAGGTAAAATAAGGATAGAAAATTTGTTAAAAGGGAATAAAAATAACTTAACGGATCTTATCGCGTTTAATTTTAACTTTTTTAATTACCAACATTTCGGTGCACTTTACAGCACCTATGGTCACGAGGGAACCCCCCCGTTAAAAAGTTAAAATTAAACACGATAAAATTCGTAAAATTAATTTTATTTCATGTGTATTATTCGCGTAAATATAAGAAACAAATATTGATGTCTTATATTTACGCGAACACTACACGTATAAATAATACTAGTTTTTACGGATTTTACCGCGTATTCTTTATTGTGCGTATATTTTATTATTATTAAATACGCGATAAAATACAAAACCAAATAGATGAAAAAAAATTAAATCATCAATCTGATATTTAAAACTAACAACTTTATTCATTAAAATCGACTTGGCTTAAAAATACTTACAGTAATTCGCTCTCTCCTCGCTAAATGACAATAGAAAGAGACAGGTATACAGTTATAAATTACTTAAGTTTAGTATGCGATAAAAAACAACTAAAAATTATTTGCTTTGAATATTTTAACATTTTAAACGTCATTTTCTTTATTTATTATATATCAACACAAACTGTGCATATCTTTGAATTTAAATCCCAACTTTAAGACAATAAGGTAGAGGTTTTTTAGCAACCGCCTATATATACAGCATGATTAACCTTTCCTAGATCTATAGCCTGTGTTAGGTGTCCCTGGCTAGGCGATCAGTACAGTACATCGTAATGTTTTGTCATATTCCTTTTTTTTAATATTTGTACCTAGCCTAGTGACAATTTTACAACTACCCTCCGTATTATTCGCTAATGCTAGTCAGATAATGGCAAAAAATTACAGATAATATAATATATTTTATCTGTGATCTTTGGCTACGTAAAGCTATTTGGTTGTGTAAGATGCTTATGCATGGTAAAGTAAAGCTTAAAATAGAATGTTTTATATCCTTAGTAACCCCAGAACAAATTACTTACATATTTTATGATTTTAAATACTGGATGACCTTTTTTACTGTCTGGAAATAAAAATAGGGTGTAACATGTGAACGGAGTAGAAGCCTATGGCACTGATATTTTACAAAATATAAAACGAAAATTTTTAATTAAACGTTTGAAAACATTTTTTGAACAATTACCCTTTACCCTTGAGTCTGTGACTGCGAAGTGACAAGGTCAAAGATGCCTACTAAATTTATTATTTTATTAAAGTAGGGTGGATATGATTTGAATTTCGATAGATTTTAATTAATTTATTTATAAAATTCAAAATGTTTATTTTCTTTTATTTTGTTTTGTTGTTCACATTCCGTTCACATGTTTCATCCTATTTTTTTCCAGACGGTAAAAAAGATCATCCAGTATAAAATGATGTGCGGCAAATGAGCATTCAGTCCGCCTGAAGGAATATGAAGCCTGTGACACTTAGCTACAAGCATCCTCGATTAAGAATCATGTACAATCATTATAGATGCGTTCTCAACGCTGAGGGCTACACATGAAACACAGCGGCATTATTCGGCTATTTCACGCTGGTGTTCTGTGCGAGTGTCGTACTTTTCTAGTCGAGCTAATGGTACGCTAGAGCGTGACAAAATATTATAAGCCATCTCTTTCTACCACGTAGATGAAAGAAAGAGAAAGCGCATAATATTTGTGCTACAGACTGTGTAATTGAACGACACAACGTGCTTACTAATTATGACGTATTTAGATCTTAAATTTTGAGACGCTTGCAATATATCTACGGTTTTTAAACATGTCCATAAAATATAATAGGTATCTTATTTATAAATAGTTCAAACATAGTAAAGTCCTTTCTTTAGTTCGATGTGAAAACTGCATATAACCTTAGCGTCTCTCTATCTATATTCTGTCTTACTCACACAGAAAAAGAAATAAAGACAATTTAAGTGACGTACAAACCATGTTCAACTTCTTGACACGCATTCACCCAAATATCTTTCTTTTTCTTTTCTTTAACTGCTCGTAAAAGTAAAATTGTGGACGCACACATATGCAGCTAAAACCATGTTGTTGGTTGCAAATGATTTTAGATGCATATGTGTGCGTGAATTCGTGTTCTTACAATAAGTTTAACATGGTTTTGGCATAGTTTTTGTGTCACTTGTAATATCCACAAGGCCCGGTCTTTATATTTATTTTTCTTTGTTGTTCTTAGTCTTATTGAAGAAACTGAAAAAAAAGGTTATTGTTGTAAATTAGTATAAAACAAAAATCGTACGTATTAAACGAAAGAAACCTATATAGAATGAAGTCACATGTAGCCTCATATGGCGTCCTTGTATTTGATATACGTTGTTTTCTAAGTAAGAACAAGATAAAATAGTTTCACATGTAATTTTGTAGCATAATGATACGTCTGGCGATCGACCACATACTGGCCGATGCGTAGTCGAGTCGACAAAATCCCATAAAGAAATTTTTCGATGCCATTTGAAATATATTTACTTATTAAATATTTTTAAATTACTTAACCGCTTGGTTTTGGTGTGCCTGCATGATTCATTGCATGATTTTAACACTGATATTCTATGTTGGTATGAATTTTACATAACACCCTTATTCATAAAAAACAATTAAACGCTTCATTAGTTGTTTTGTCTCATTATGACATTTGTGTGACACTTGTTGCTAGAAAGTGACAAAACACAATTGAATGTTTAAAATGTTTTTGAATAAGAGGGTATATTTATACCTACCTTGTAGATAGTTTTCTATCCTATGTTTTCAATATAAGTACTACCAGACGGATCATATATAATATATTAATTAAATACACTGCGTAGTGACGGTGTAAGAATATCAACTACCCAAAATCCCATGGGTGTCGAAGAGGCGACAGAGGGAAATAAAGCAGGAGATGGGCAGCGTCTTCGTTATAACAACTAAGGTAAAAAAGCTGAGATGCACACCCGCCTGCCAAGGGTGGCAACTTTGGGAGATATCCCCCTTTTAAGGTAATATGTGGGGAGGCCTGTGTTTAGCAGTTTACTTTAATAGGCTGTAATGAATGGATGTATAGAAGATAATCTACCAGGAGCACATGACCCACAGAGAGGTGAAATTATTGAATCAACAGTAACATTACAACCATGTAGAAGATAATCTACCAGAAGCACATGACCCACACTGAGAGGTGAAATTATTAAAATCAACAGTAACATTATAACTATGTAGAAGATAATCAATCTACCAGGAGCACATGACCCACTGTGAGGTGAAATTATTAAATCAACAGTAACATTACAACTATGTAGAAGATAATCTACCAGGAGCACATGACCCACTGAGAGGTGAAATTATTAAATCATTTCACCCGTGTTATTAAATCAACAGTAACATTACAACTATGTAGAAGATAATCTACCAGGAGCACATGACCCACAGAGAGGTGAAATTATTAAATCAACAGTAACATTACAACTATGTAGAAAATAATCTACCAGGAGCACATGACCCACTGAGAGGTGAAATTATTAAATCAACAGTAACATTATACAACTATGTCATATATCTCCCGTATGAGTCAATCTAGTGAGGAGGCATATATTATGTTCAGCTGAGTGGAATTTAATAAGCTGTAACGGATGTGCGTACAGAAGTTAGTCTACCAGGAGCGCATGACCCACTGAGAGGTGAAATTATTAAATCAACAGTAACATTACAACTATGTAGAAGATAATCTACCAGGAGCACATGACCCCACTGAGAGGTGAAATTATTAAATCAACAGTAACATTATACAACTATGTCATATATCTCCCGTATGAGTCAATCTAGTGAGGAGGCATATATTATGTTCAGCTGAGTGGAATTTAATAAGCTGTAATGGATGTGCGTACAGAAGTTAGTCTACCAGGAGCGCCCGATTGACATTGAGCACCCCACTGAGAGGTGAATTTATTAAATCAACAGTAACATTATACAACTATGTCATATATCTCCCGTATGAGTCAATCTAGTGAGGAGGCATATATTATGTTCAGCTGAGTGGAATTTAATAAGCTGTAACGGATGTGCGTACAGAAGTTAGTCTACCAGGAGCGCATGACCCACTGAGAGGTGAAATTATTAAATCAACAGTAACATTACAACTATGTAGAAGATAATCTACCAGGAGCACATGACCCACTGAGAGGTGAAATTATTAAATCAACAGTAAAATTACAACTATGGCAAATATCTCCCCTACGAGGCAATCTATGGGAGAGGTCTATGTTCAGAAGTGAACTTTAACATACTGTAAAGAATGTACGAATGAATATAATTAAATATTTGTTTTCGCAAAAAAAAAAAAAAACAAAGTAACCGATAGCGCAACAGATCGTCATTTTTTACTAAGTAGTAAAAAAATCGGCAGCGCAACTATAAATTCTACAATTTTCTAGGACAGGCGGGCTATGCTTTAGCATGTAGTGATCGTTCTCCTGTTCTCTAACCTCCATGGTCAAGACGAACATTACACGTCACGATATTCGTTCCGTCATATTACAATATGCCATTGCCACAGTTTAATTTCTCTAATACACAGTAGTCTATGGTCTAACTACTACTAACATTCGGTCATCGAAGGCGTCTAGACGTGGCAATCGTGCGATGCGTTGCGGGGCGAGACGCGGACAGAGCGCTCCTGTCTGTCTGCTAGGGTTGTCCTGTCACGTAAATGAATTAAAGTGGTTCACCCTACACGTGCGGTAAATAACTGTGGATCTTCGTCATAAAGATAAGGAATTAAAATTTTCATCATTTTCCACATACACAGGAATTTGTTTAAACCTGAAAAAAATAAAATTTGATTATTTTTTTATTACTTCCCGTTTTGACAACCCTAGCAATTTATTGTTTATGTCGGCTTTTCCGACAACATCAAACACGATGACTGATTGTATGTTCTTCTTAGGTTGTGCTGTAGGTCTACCACATATAGAAATAGGTATTAAATAATAGACTTCGTCATGGTGCTGGGTCTTGCTTTTATACATTACTTCGAGCGTTGCCTATTCTTACGCACACACATTTTATTAACTTCACAGAGGACATGCAGATGCATGCAATCTCGACTGGCTGCCGTAACAATACTTTATGACCTAATTTAATAGAAATCGATTCGAGTAATAGAAATCACCGATTTCTCGCCGTTTCTTGCTAACTATCACGGATATATGATGTTATCTGTAACGGATGATAGAACAAAATGTACTTTCAGGTAGAAATAACGCCGTGGCATTCGAGCATGCACAACATGGGAATGGTGTTCAACAGGACGGTGTGGAACAACATAATGGAGCTACAGGAGCAGTTTTGCGCCTACGATGACTACAATTGGGATTATTCCTTGTTACATTTGTCGCAGAACAGGCCCGGACGGGAGAAGTTTAGAGTGATCTTGTGTAAAGGGCCTCGCGTGTTTCATATCGGTGAATGGTATGTATCCCTATTTAGATACACTTGCGTTTTTTACGTGTTAGAGCCACGCTGTAGCTATATTATGGTTGTAGCATGAATGAGTCAGCTCGATTGGAGTAGGATTACACTCTCACATAATACAAGCGTAAAATAGAAGTTTAATGCTGCTGTGTTTTATATGCCGAGTGCAGAGAACCGGAGGCCATCTTTTACTAAAAACGAGCCGTTCCATCTTCGCCCTCAGGTGTGACGACGCATCTGCATGTCCATTCTTAAGGGGAAATACAATCTCAAATGGCTTAGCAATATCCTCCGTTATGCCGAAAATATTGCAGCATTAATTTTGAAATAAATTTATGGCAAAGTTGAGGATTAATGTTAAGTACTATGTTAGACGAAAACATGATTCCGTAAAATTTTCTCGATAGAAAAAAAATCCAAATTTACCTCCAAACTGAAATATAAACCGCTGGTATTCCTAAAATACTTTAAATAAGATCATGAAACTTTGCATACTAAGTGAACTAACTATATCCGCGTCCTGAAGCTTGAACAAGCTTCAGGACGACGATAGTTTAGGTAATTTCTTTTCACAGTGAAAATAATGGTAATTTAAAAAAAACACAAGCCCTCCTTTATAGTTAAGCAGAAATTTTCTGTACATGTAATATGTTTATCAATAAACATTATTATTGTTATTACATAGATACAACAACAGCGCTATAAAAAAGAAGTATAATTCCGCCTCTAGGTCCTTCAAAAGAGTCATTGCCAAGGCAAAGTCAGAGCACATAGGCAGAATTGGCGAGAAACTAGTTCGCCTTCCTTCTGGAACCCGTGCATTCTGGTCTCTCGCCAAGGCTGTCCAGGGGAATTTCTGTCAGCCATCTCTTCCATCTCTGCACAGGGAGGACGACTCACTGGCCCATACCGCAAAGGAGAAAGCCGATCTTCTAGGCTCTTTCTTTGCATCCAACTCGACTCTCGATGACGGGGGGAGTACGCCGCCGACCATCCCGCGGTGTGAATGCTCCATGCCGGAAGTGCAGTTCACACAGCGCTCGGTTCGCAAAACACTCCTCTCCCTGGACATCCACAAGTCGAGTGGGCTTGACGGAATCCCACGAATTGTGCTGAGGACGTGTGCTCCAGAGTTGTCACCGGTTTTAAGGCGTCTTTTCCGGTACTCCTACTCCCTAGGCGTAGTCCCACAATCATGGAAGACGGCTTTTGTCCCCCCGATCCCTAAAAAAGGCGACGGCTCAGACCCGTCCAACTACCGGCCTATCGCCATCACCTCCTTGTTCTCCAAAATATCGGAGTCTATTGTAAACTGCCAGCTCATGTGGTACCTTGAGGATCACCAGCTGATAAGTCTTACTCTTCTATGGCTGATACATGGAAATTTCTCCGGACGATCGGGATCGGTAAACCTACGTGTAACGTGGACCCTGCAATAATTTCTATAAGTGACCTAAACTTACATTTTTCTTTAACTACCCAAATGAAGGCTTCTGTTAAATCAAGTACTATTTCTTATTTGAATTCCATGCCACAATCTCGTAACTGCACATTTAATTTTTCTCCCGTTGCTGATGAGTATATAAAAAAGATCATCTATTGTATTAAGTCTATGGCAGTTGGATTCGATGATGTGTATAGACTCATGATCACCTTAATTCTAGACAATGTAACTCATGTTATTACTCACATCATAAATTATTCATTATTGACTGGGGATTTTCCCACACTTTGGAAAAAAGCATTTGTTATTCCGCTGCCCAAAATAAATAACCCCAGTTCTTTCTCTCACTTTCGCCCAATATCTATTCTCCCTTTTTTATCTAAAGTTCTTGAAGCTATTGTCCACAAACAAATTTCTTGTTACATTTTCAAAAATAATTTTCTTAGCACATTTCAATCTGGTTTTAGGCCTAGGCACAGTACAACCACAGCTCTTTTGAAAGTTACAGAAGATTTTCGTACTGGAATGGAGAACTCAAAATTGACTGTGTTAGTCCTAATAGATTTCTCTAACGCTTTTAACGCTGTTGATCATGATATTCTCCTAGCTGTACTTTGTCACCTGGGATTCTCTTCGTCAGCACGGGACTGGTTCTCGTCGTATCTTCGGGGTTCGTCAGCAGGCTATTCGAGTGGGTCAGATCGTCTCTGATTGGTGTTCGTTGTCTGCTGGCGTTCCTCAAGGCGGAATTCTCTCTCCTCTCCTGTTCTCAGTCTTTATAAATCTCATTACATCCCACATTCGCTGTTCGTACCATCTGTATGCTGATGACTTACAAATTTATGCTCAAACTGAGGCGGCAGGTATCGATGATGTGATTAAGAAGCTTAACTGCGACCTTAACAGTATTTATTATTGGTCAGACAGATTTGGTATTAGGGTTAATCCAACAAAGTGTCAGGCTATTGTGGTTGTTAGTTCTCGTAGACTGCCTAAAATTGATATGAAGGCGCTACCTCCTATAATTTTTAATAATGTTGCTATTCCTTACTCATTAACTGTTAAAGATCTTGGCTTAGTTATTGACAACACCCTCACTTGGCGACCGCATATATATGAAGTGAGCAAAAAGGTCACTCACACTCTGCGTTATCTGTATCGTCTCAAGAATTTTTTACCGATAGGGACTAAGGTGATGCTAATACAGACTCTAGTGTTGCCTATTTTAGATTATGCAGATGTTTGCTATGCTGATGCCTCTCAAGAACTTCTAAACAAACTGGATCGACTTCTTAATAATTGTATACGCTTCATTTTCGGTTTACGTAAATACGACCACATCTCCTCTTATCGTTCTCAGCTTAAATTGATACCCCTCCGCTATCGCAGATATTTCAGAATACTGTGCATGTTATTTTCAGTTTTACAAGATCCGCTTGTCCCTGAATATCTGAAATGTAAATTTCAGTATCAGGGTGATTCTCATAATCGTTGTCTCCGTTCTACGGAAAAGTCTAATCTCCATGTCCCCCTCTGTCACACTAGCTTCTTGTATAAATCTTTTACGTCTCACGCGGTAAGATTGTGGAACGAGCTACCGAGCAGTGTACGTGCAGCCACGAGCAAAGCATCGTTCAAACGCTTGCTATGGAATCATTTTCTGGCGTTGCAGGAGTAGTTTGTTGATTAACATTTTTTTTTATATTCTTAAATTCTAACTGTTCCCTTATCCTGTTTTTATTTCAAATATTTCATAGGTGTTTGAATCAGAAACAGCTATATTTAATTATGTATGTACTTATATATGTATATGTATATATGTATGTATATGTATATGTGTGTATATATATATATATATATATATATGTAATGATACGTATGTTTATAACATGTAATGCAATATTTAATGTGTATGTCTACTTAAATGTTTTAACTCAGTAGCACTTTGCACCCACAATATCTTCTCTGCTTAGCCTGGAGGTAGACTGGCAGAGAATGCCTTGTTGCATTAAGTCCGCCTTTTTGTACTCGGTGTGCAAATAAAGCATAAATAAATAAATAAGTGACCGCCAATACGGTTTTCGCCGTGGTCGGTCAGCTGGTGATCTTCTGGTCTACCTAACTCATAGATGGGCGGAGGCAGTAGAGTCCAAGGGGGGGGCATTGGCCGTTAGTTTGGACATTGCGAAAGCTTTCGTTCGGGTTTGGCACAAAGCGCTTCTTTCGAAGCTCCCTTCCTATGGGCTTCCCGAGAAATTGTGCGATTGGATCACCAGCTTTCTTGCAGATCGGAGCATCAAGGTCGTTGTAGACGGTGCAAGCTCCGATTGCAAGCCTATTAATGCTGGTGTTCCACAAGGCTGCGTGCTATCGCCAACGCTGTTTCTTCTGCATATCAATGATATGTTGCAAACCCGTAACATACATTGCTATGCAGATGACAGCACTGGTGATGCTCTTTACACCGGCCGAGCCAATATTTCTCGGGAAAACGTCTCCGAGTGCCGGGATAAACTTGTGTCTGAAGTCGAGTCTTTGCTGAACAGAGTCTTGGATTGGGGGCGACTAAATGTAGTCCAGTTTAACCCCCAGAAGACACAAGTTTGCGCGTTAACCGCTAAAAAGAACCCCTTTGTCGTATCTCCTCAGTTTCAAGGTACTCCCCTTGTTGCCTCAGCCAGTATCGGAATCTTCGGCGTTGACATATCGAGTGACGTGCAGTTTCGTGGTCACTTGGAAGAGACGGCCAAATTGGCCTCTAAAAAGCTTGGCGTGCTCAGCAGAGCGGGACAGTATTTCATGCCGGCACACCGCCTGCGACTTTACAAGGCGCAGGTTCGGCCGCACATGGAATACTGTTCCCATCTCTGGGCTGGGGCTCCCCAGTACCAGCTCCTTCCACTTGACCCCATCCAGCGCAGAGCGGCTCGAATCGTCGACGACCTTTCCGATCGGCTCGATTCACTGGCACTGCGAAGAGATGTTGCATCTCTTTGCATTTTATTTCGCATATACCATGGAGAGTGCTCTGAGGAATTGTTCGGATTAATCCCAGCCGCCAAATTTCGTGAACGCACTACGCGGCAAACGTCCCGATACAATCCACACCATCTGGATGCTTGGCGGTCCACCACAGTACGTTTCAAAAGGAGTTTTCTTCCGCGTACAACCTCTCTGTGGAATAGTTTACCACCGGCGATTTTTCCGGACCGATACGACCTGGGGACCTTCAAGAAAAGAGCTTACTCCTTTCTAAAGGGCCGGCAACGCACCTGCAATTCCCCTGGTGTTGCGGTTGATCATGGGCGGCGGTAGTCACTTAACATCAGGTGAGCCGCATGCTCGTTGGCCCCCTCTTCTAGAAAAAAAAATACATAAATGCACGCCTGTCACCCAAAGGAGTAGGCAGAGACTACGTACTTCCATTTGGCACGATCCTGACACATCTCCACTACGTCTGAGACTGTGATAGCCATAATTTTGCCAAATGTGGCGGTTTATTTATTTATTTTTATTTAAAAGCTTTATTGTTCTAACCACAAAGATTACAAAGGTCGGACTTAATGCCAGTTCGCATTCTCTGCCAGTCAACCCATGGCGTGGTGAGGAATTAGTGGCAGGTTTAATAATCTATTTATAATCATTATCCTTAAAACCTATATACATATACATACATAAATATTTACATAATATGTATGTATGTATATATGTATAAGAACCGACAACAGTTGGAGAAAAAGGTTCTCGAGTGGCAGCCTCGTACCAGGTAAAGTGTAGAGCGTAAGTAGATGGAGTGACGCCCTAGTAAGACATGCAGGAAGTCGATGGATGCAGGTGGCTCAGGACCGTGCTTTGTGGCATTCCTTGCGGGAGGCCTATGTACAGCAGTGGACTTGTGAAGGGATGTAATGATGATGATGACATAATATGTCTGGATAAAGGTAGTTTTCACATTATGCTGACGACATTGTTTTTGAGAGATGTTCCCGGATCAATGTTTTAAAAGCATTTATGGGAAGTCAACCTATCAGAATTCCACTGCCAAACATTGCCCTTCCCCATATTTTTCCTTATAGGCATTTACCAAAGTTGGCACGCACAACAGGTGGGCTGACAACCGCAGTTTTCATTCATTTCCCTCTGTTATCTCTCACGACACCCACGGGACGATATGGGGTAATGGGTATTCTTACACCGCCACTATCGGGTAATTAATTCTATAAAATCAACGTGTAATTCCTTCACAGTGGAATCCATCATAAGAAGTCGAACTGCAACGCCTCGACGGTCATCAGCAAGGTACAGAAGCTACTTCAAAACGCGAAGTCGCACATGTTCCCATCGAGGGTCACCGCCACCATCACCGCTGGTGGGGCAAAGCACAATAAGAAGCTCACCAAAGGAAATGGTGGATGGGGGGATATTAGGTAAGTGAGATTCAGTGTTATATCGAGATTTAAGTTCTGTTGGATATCATGCTATATAGGGATATTACTTCTATTGAATATCGTCTATCGGATATAATGTTATAGGCGGATATTATATCTATCGGATATTATATTATAGTGGTATATTATGTCTGTCGGATATAATGTTATAGGCGGATATTATATCTATCGGATATTATGTCCGTCAGATATTATGTTATAATGGGATATTACGTCTATCGGATATAATGATATAGGAATTAGAGTCTCTCGGAAAAAGGCGTCGACTTAGTGATCTTAAAATACTTCATAAGCTAATTCACGGCCTCCTACTATCACCGGCACTGTTAAATCAATTAAGTATCAGAGTTCCAAGATCTATTCCAAGACATTCGATTACCAAAATCTTCTGTTTACCCAACCAGAGAACAAATTTAGGTAAACGAGCCCCAATAAATAGGTTAATGCAAACGTATAACGACATAACCACCAACGGCGACGTCGACATTTTCCATACGGATAACGTATCAAAATTTGCTAGATTATGTAATAAGTATTTATAACTCTTTCTCTCTTCTTCAATTTTAGCATTAGTTTCATTGTAATCAAATTATTTGTAAATTTATTAATGATATTGTTCTAGTTAAGTAAGTTAACAACTGTCTTAACTGCACTATTTTTGTGAATGTTGTATATACCTTTAAAGACGAATCATTTTGAACAAAACCAATTGCATTATATTTAACAATGTCTAGTGATAAGCCAATGGTGTATCTGTTAAATAAATAAATAAATAAATAAATAATGTTATAGTGGGATATTACGTCTATCGAATATAATGTTATAGGCGAATATTATATCTATCGGATATTATATTATAGTGGTATATTATGTGTGTCGGATATAATGTTATAGGCGCACTATTTTTGTGAATGTTGTATATACCTTTAAAGACGAATCATTTTGAACAAAACCAATTGCATTATATTTAACAATGTCTAGTGATAAGCCAATGGTGTATCTGTTAAATAAATAAATAAATAAATATATAATGTTATAGTGGGATATTACGTCTATCGAATATAATGTTATAGGCGAATATTATATCTATCGGATATTATATTATAGTGGTATATTATGTGTGTCGGATATAATGTTATAGGCGCACTATTTTTGTGAATGTTGTATATACCTTTAAAGACGAATCATTTTGAACAAAACCAATTGCATTATATTTAACAATGTCTAGTGATAAGCCAATGGTGTATCTGTTAAATAAATAAATAAATAAATATATAATGTTATAGTGGGATATTACGTCTATCGAATATAATGTTATAGGCGAATATTATATCTATCGGATATTATATTATAGTGGTATATTATGTGTGTCGGATATAATGTTATAGGCGGATATTATATCTATCGGATATTATGTCCGTCAGATATTATGCTATAACGGGATATTACGTCTATCGGATATAATGTTATAGTGGGATATTACGTCTATTGAATAAAAGGTTAATTGTGGTATCACGCGATAAAACAAATGTTATTTTAGTAGTCGTTAAAACCTATTAAAGTCATAGAGATATAGAACATAGGTACAATAGAGTGTCTCATATTTGCCATAGTTGCAACTCTTGGCAAGCAAGTTGGCGACAGCAGATTTTTATTTTTAGTCGTTATTGAAGACGCTGCCGCCCATCTCTTGATTCGTTTCCCTCTGTCGCCTCTTACGACACCCGCGGGATGATACGGGATGGTGGATATTCTTGACCATCACTACAGAGTAATTGGAACTTATATTGAATCACTAGCTAGCCTGGCATGAGTCAGTTTGATCCATAAATATATAATTTTTTAATAACTAGACTATGGAGATACTATTCCGGTAGTTTAGTATTATTAGTAATAAATATTGAAATGTTTACATTGATTTGAATTGATATTTGTTAATTATTATCTTTACCTTGTAATTAACTATTCGTGAGAATGTGAATAGAAATATTTAAAAAAAATATCGGATGTGACTGTGTCGTAGACACGGTCGTGTGTTGTACGTGAACACGTTAGACATGTGTCAATCATGAATGATTCGTTCGTGAATGGTTCATTCGTCTGTTTTTGAATGTTCCGGTACAACCAATTACAAACAATTGACGGAACCTTTTTAACTCGTGATTGTTGTGAATTGCGAATGAGCAGAAAACCGATTGAATCCCGATTGAACTGAATGAATTGTTTTAGTGTAGGGCACTGGAGCCCGAAATGATCCATTAGAATGATCGAACCGAATGTACCGGTACGCTTGACGAAATGTACTAGAGTGAGAAATGAATGATTGATTGACACATGTCTAGTGTACGTAACAAGACGACCTCAACATGGCGACGTTCCCCTGCCGCGCGCCATGCGTCACGGTCCTCACTCAACGTAACGGATTCTTTGATCGTTTAGCTATCTAAGTTTACAATAGTTTATTATCAATTAAATTTTTCAAATTTTCTTGTAAAGACAACACTTTTTTTATTTTCTTGAGAAAATAAACAAATATCAATAAGTTAGCTGTAACAAGAATCAATCTTAACACAGTAAATAATACGTGAGGGTAATATGATTACCTTAAGCTTTGCCGCCCTAAAAAATCAAAGCTAAGACGGGGGCAGAGACAAAAACCAAAAGTCATATACTATAACTAATATATTAATTAAAAAAAAAAACAAAAAAGCTTTGACAATAATTAGGAACCGTAGACAGAGAAACCTATAGACGCCTTCTTTCGCATTCGCACACGAAAAAGATAGATTTATGCATACGTCTTGCATAGAAATGAGATAGAGCGGTGTGATTGTTTGTCCCTTTATCAGAGCCGGTTTTTTTGTTTAGCAAACTCTACAGTTTGCTAAACAACTTTAACAGCGTAGCGATTTAAGGAGTTTACAAGTTTGTTTAAGTGGGAAAAAAGTGTTTTGTGAGCTTAAGATTGGTGAATCTTGTTCAGTTCAGTTCTTAGAACAATTAAAATTTTTTATCTAAATGTGTTTAAAAGTCATAAAGATTATTGTATAACCTAAAAATTCGTTATCGTCCTTTCTCACTTGAGGCCACGCCGATCATTAGTCTATAGGTTTCTCTGTCTACGTTAGGAACACTTCTAAAATTTACTTAAAAAAATTAACTTCACTACACCATACTAAAATCAATTAAAATATTAACTATAATGTTAACTGTCAAAGTGGCGTCTAAAAAGCAGCGCCCTTTTGACCCTTTATTATTAGATAGACCGATGAAGAGTTATCATAAAGCCATCTATGCAAAGAAGGCTGTAGTTTTTGAGTTATAAGAACGTGACTATATTACCCTCACGTACTATATAAAAGATCTATTAACTTTTTCTCATAGATGGTGAATAAAAAATACTATCAAATGCAATAGGCTATGATAGTGTTGCATGAATAAGTCAACTAGCGCCATCTAGTGTCAGGAACGAGAGCGAGGGGAGCATTGAGAAAATGACATCACAAATCGCTCAACTGACAGCGCCTAGTCGAAACTCGAACGCTCGGTACCTTCCGCGTGTTTACTTGAACATTCTGGATATTTCTTTGCTAATTTAAATATATAGGCGCTGCAGGATGCGATGGAGGCAGTGTTGATTTGGGCGAAACAAGCGAAGCTTCGGAGTGGAATTAAGTGAATTAGTGTGTTTAAATTATTAGTGTTTTAACTTTAATTGTGTAAAGTAAATTAAAGTGTTAATTTAGGTAATTTTATCGGCAATTTTTATTGTCACGAACCTCAAGCTCGTAACAATTGGTGTCAGAAGTGGGATAAAATCATGCCGATTTTACCTAAGGAGGAAACGGAGGGTGTCCGTACCCGAAGTCAACGCCAGCAGGAGACGGACCAACGAAGATTTGGTGGTGCAACGCCGCAGACGTCGGAGGGCCAGCCACCGGCTGCAGGCCCGTCGGTAGCTCCTACATCTGCAGCACCTGACTTAGGTGCTCTGATGGTGATGCTGCAGGAGCAGGCTCGCCGACAGGAGGAGCAGGCTCGCCGACAGGAGGAGCAGGCCCGTCAGTTGAAAGAGCAGCTGCAAAGCGGACAAGAGGAACAGGCCCGCCGGCAGGAGGAACAGGCCCGCCGGCAGGAGGAACAGGCCCGCCGGCAGGAGGAACAGGCCCGCTGGCAGGAGGAACAGGCCCGTCGTTTAGAAGAGCAACTCCAACGCGATAAGGAAGAGCAGATGCTCCTCATGAAGGACCTTCACGCTATCTTCGGAAAAGAGATACGGGAGGTGAAGGATAAGGTTGCTCAACATGACAACCGCCTGTCGGAGGCCGAAACCCGAATCGACCAAGTAAACAATCGGGTTGACAACGTAGTGGCTGACGTGAAGAAAACGCTGGACGACCTCAAACTTAGGAATGGAACAACAGCTCCCGTAGTAGCTACAACACCTTCGCTACGTGGATTCAAAGTTCCGCCGTTCGACGGTACCTCTTCCTGGTCAGCCTACAAGATCCAGTTCGAGGCTGTTATGAAGGCGAACGGCTGGAATGAAAGTCAGGCCATGACTGCTCTCACACTAGGCCTGCGCGACCAGGCCTTAACAGTTCTGGAAGCTCTCGGTGAGGAAGTGACTTATGAGCAACTCATTGAGGCATTGGAGGCGAGGTATGGCGACGCTCACCTGGAACACGTCTTTCGTGCGCAACTTAAAGATCGCGTGCAGCGCATCAACGAAAACCTGCAGCAGTAGGCTCTAGAGGTGGAGAAGCTGGTGCGAAAGGCATACCGGTCTGTACCTGCGCTCATTGGAGGGAACCTGGTGCAGACATTCATCGACGGCATCCGTGACCTGGAAGTCAGAGCTGCTGTGAGGCTCGGGCACCATGAGACGCTTAAGGACGCCTTGGCCCATGCACTGGAGGTAGAAGCCGTGCGGCAGGATCATCGTTCCCATCGCGTCAGGGAGGTTGCAGCAGCTACAG